ATTTCTGATTCTTGCGGTTTAGGGTCTGCTAGGACCCTGAGATTTTTCGCCCATCATCAGGAAACTCTTTCAATGGGGCGGGCGCCAAAACACAAGAAAGAGGGGCTCTTCATGAAGGGATGTGTGACACTAGGATCTTCTGCGAATTGGCAGACGCAAAGAGCAATCCAGTACGAAGTGCGACGTCGGCGGTGCACTGTTGTACAGAAGTGATGTTACTGCTTAGTGTGCTAAACCTTGAACCCCAACACAAAAAGAGCAGTCTCCATTTTCTTTCCACTCTCTAAGCCCTCAACCCTCATTAGGGAGCCTAAGGCCTAAAGAGTCGCTTCCAGTTCTTTTCCGTGTCTCCATTCCCTACAGAGAACCAAATGAGTCATAGTCTCAACTCCGAGTATCCCCCTTAATAACCCCCATAACAGTCCCCTATATAAACCCCTAAATAACCCCCTCTACGGAGTTGTGACCCTAAACTCTAAACCCAATATATTCTAATAGTAACAGGTGAGACCAGCTTTGGCCAGCTGGTTGTGCGACCCGACAGCGGAGATCCTGAAGAAACCTGTGCCGGGAGCCCTACCTGAGTAGTATTTTATTTGGGGATAGGGGTTTAGGGGTTTAGGGTTTAGGGATGTTTAGGGTTTAGGCTCAGGATTTTATTTGGGGATACTATGGGTTTGGGGGTTTAGGGTTTAGGGCCCTATAATGGAGAATCAAATGGAAAAGAACATGGAAGATGAAATCGAAACTGGGATTATATAGGGTTTATTTGTGTAGTATTTTATTTGGGGATACTATGGTACCCAATATCACCCCAATAATGGAGAATCAAATGGAAAAGAACATGGAAAATGAAATGGAAGCTGGGATTATATAGGGGTTACATTATATTATAGCTCTAGAATTTTTATTTGGGGATACTATGGTACCCAATATAGAGTAAGATTCTATCCTCCTTTTCACGAAAGCTAGCTCCTTGGAGCTTGCGAGAGTTTCTGTTTACCAATATTGTCTCCTGGGCTATGGAGAAATCTGGGACCACTTGGTCTGATACATC